CAAACCCCTTTTTGGCTTTCTCTTTCCCATCCATCCGCCATTACTGTACTGTTTATTATCTCACAGCCACCGCAAATGCATGCCTAACCCATAAAGCAAGCTAAGCTATCACTTCTAGCTTAAAATTCACGAGATAATGCAAGCAATGAATAGGAAACCCATCATTATGAACGGGAAAAAGAAGAAAAAATGACTGACCTTCTGTTGAAGTCCTTGCCGCAGGTGTCGAAGCAAGTATTTCTTTTTTCTTTCTAGTTTCCTTGTTCACACAATACATTCAATCACATGATCACAAAACCATAATCATCAAAAGCTATTGAAATGTTTACCCAAAAATAGAGAAATAACAATCTGTAAAATAAACAAACAAAACAAATCACAAACAGTAGCTACAAATTTAGAATAAAAAGTCTTCATAATTTCATAAATGATTACTAAAACAAGGCAAAGTAAACCAAAATTTCCATTGTCCACACAAGCAGCAAATCAACATATAATGGATTCACTCATCTCTTCATTCAAAAATATTTCTCTGTGCCTATACATACAATTTCAATTTCTCTGCAAACAGAAGCAAAGTTTGTTGAACTTGAATTATCGTTTGAGTGGAAAAATGGCTTACTTGAGAATTGTTGCTGTTATGATGGTGGCCTTGATGGCTGGATCTGCCTTTACTCCCGCACCAGCTGCTTCACCGAAGAGATCTCCATCTCCGGTCGCGTCGCCGCCGCAGGCAGTGCCGGCACCACGTTCTTCTCCAGCGTCCTCTCCGGCTCAGACTCCATCTGCCGCCGCTCCCTCTGAGTCACCACTCTCTTCTCCACCGGCTCCTCCCACCAGCACTCCTGCCGCCTCCACCATCGCTAATCCTCTATCCATCGCACAGGCTCCCGGAGGCGATGCTCCTTCCTCCCCTCCCAACGCCGCCGCTTTGAATAGAGTCGCTCTCGTCGAATCTGCTGGTTTGGCGTTCGTCACTGCCGCTTTGCTGTTCTAAATTCTCTGATCTACCTGAGATTCTTTTCAAATACACTGGAGTTGATGATTTAGGGCTCTATATATTTATATTTCATTGAATTTTTTGTAGTCATTGATTTTGACGGTGTTGATCATAGCGATTGAGGAGATTAGATGCTTTAATTCGTTTAAAAAAAAAATAAACATATAATGAGGGAGCCAGCTGCACACTTGGGGCGCCCAAAAATTTTGGTGGGAATTAAATTTCAATGAAATAATTTTCAAATACATCAATAGTGAGAGTAACAATAGTTTTTGTATCAATAGTGAGAGTATATTTTTAAAATAAATATATATTTAAAATTTTGTCACCAAATCATAAACTTTTAGTTAGAGTAATTTTTTACCCTCACAAAAACTATGTAAATACTACATTTAGTGAGAGGTTTTTCTACCCGTCACTAATTTTTCGTCACTAAAAATGGTTTTTCTTGTAGTGAATGCAATTGTGAAGCTGGTAAAGTTAGTTGTTAGTGAAGCGTATGTGTGGTGTGGAGCCTACTGGGCATCAATTCTTGAACAACAGTTTCAGGGGCTTCCATCTTGATTCTTGAATACATTTTTCACTTCTGCTTTGTTGTGTCTGATTTTCTTGTTAGTTTGTGTTGGCCAATCATAGGCCCTGTTTGGTAAAATGGCTGTTAGCTGATAGCTGTTTGCTGTTAGTTGATTGTGTTAATTAAAGGGTATAAATAGTTGATAGCATTAGTTGATTGTAGAAAAGTGTTTTGGTAAATTAGCTGTTAGCTGATAGCTATTTGGTATAATTTATTTTCTCAAAAAGCTAATTGAAAAAGTTGCTTGGAGTAGCTTTTTGAATTTTAGCCTTTTGGAGTTGCAAAAAGCTAATTAACCAAACATTTCTATTGATAATTTAACTAAATCAAACAATTAATAGTGGTCAAATAAGTCAAAATTGGCCTATAGGCCATTTTTTTACCAAACAGGGCCATAGTCTTTTGTAATAATAATAAAAAAAAGCAGCTATTTTTAGAGATGGTTGCATGTATTATGCTTGTTTTCGAACTGGCTATGCATATTGACACAAACTTTGTTCGTTGCAGTAGTATTTCACCCTGTAAATATATATATTGATCAGCAAGTGCAATTAGCAATTGAGTGAGCAATATTTAAGTCATATTTTCATAAATCAAAAGCTTTTGGAACATACACACAAATTAACTTTGTTCAATTCTCAATTAATTAATTAATTAGTTAAGACATATTTTATATGTTGAAATCCATTATGCTTGAACAAATAGAATTGCTAACTTTATGAAGATGTCATTTTTAGTCTTTTTACATTTATCAACCGATGAAAAAGCAAATTTTACGAAACACTTTTAGCATAATCAGTTAGCTTAGGCTCTGTTTGGCAAACCTAGCTAAAAAGCTATAAGCTAGAAGCTGAAACCTGAAAAGTTATAAGCTCGGAGCTGAAAACTGAAGAGCTGTTAAGCTAGCTGTTATGATTGAAAGTGTTTGATAAAATTAGCTTTTTGATAAGTTGATAAATGTAAAAAGACTAAAAATGACATCTTCATAAAACTTAAATTAGTTTGTTTACATATTAAAATTTGACATTTTGTCTTTAAAAAAATTAACATTTTGAAATAAAACTATTAGCATAATTATGATATAGCATCTCATAATGAAGTAGCAATATTGTTGCAAATCTAGTAATAGTAATAGTAATAGTAATAGTAATAATAATAATAATAATAATAATAATAATAATAATAATAATAATAATAATAATATTTGAGGTGAAAGTTGCAGATAAAGGAGAAGGGAAAAAGGTTTTAATTGGAAAGGATAAATTATGTCATTTTTTTATAATAAAATAATAAGGACAAAGATGGAAAAAAAGTTAAGAAGCTATGAGCTTATTTTGGGAACGTTACCAAACAGAACTTATAGCTTATTAATAGCTTAAAATAAGTTATAAGCTCCTAAATAAGCTCTGCCAAACAGAGCATCCTTAGCAACTCTTCAATTTTTAGCTTCTAGTTTATAGCTTTTCAACTAGATTTGCTAAATATAGCATTTGTTCTCACCTTGGATAGGGATCTCAAGCCTTTTATGAACTCTTCTACATATCTCTCTCTTAATTAATAAACCTCCTTTATTTCGAAAAAAAAAAAAGAAGAAGAAAGAATAACTACAATAAATGGTTTGAGTCTTTTTGCTATTTTCGATATAATTAGAGATTAGATATAATATTTTATTAAAAAAAAATATGACTTTAATCACCATAGATTTTTTTTGTCAAATGATAAAGGTTATTGATTATGGAAAATGATAAGTGGAGGCAATGATAAGTTGCGTCAGTTGTTGAAAACTTAAGTGCGTCGGTCTAAAGTTTTAATTAAGTGTATAATTTTCATTCTTAAGATGTGTAGTTTTCCTTCTTAAGATGCGTGATTTGTGTGCTTAAGGTGCGTCAGTGTTGAAACGTAAGGTGCGTCGACCTAAAATTTAAGAGCATTGTTTTCATTCTTAAGATGCGTGATTTGTATGCTTAATGTGCGTCAGTTGTTGAAACTTAATGTGCATCATTTTAAAATTTTAGGTGCGTGGTTTGTGTTCTTAAGATGCGTCTTTTTAAGTTAACCACACAACCGCATGGGAAGCTATACACGCACATGAACTCTTCTCAGGCCAGGTGAAAGATGCGGTGAGATATGAGCCATTGATACGTAACATCATAATTAATACTCAGAACGGTACTCCGAAGAGTGATTCAAAACGTGAATAGTTCGAAAGGTAACTACTCCGAATCATACCTTCAAAAGATACCTGAAAGGTTACGAGAACTGACCTTTTGGTTTTTAAAGTTGGTAATTTAGATATCAAAATTTAAAATATTAGCATAGTTTTATGCAGATTTTTAATTTTGTTGAAAAATAAATTATTACTAAATGTAAAATACTATATCATTTAAATTAAATTTATGTTTTATATTATATATGTTATAATCATTTTAATATTAACTTGCAATATTTTATTGTTATATATCCTTGGTCTAATAATAACGAATATCAATTTTAACAATATGTTGTACAATTTAAGTTGTGGTTAAATATTTTAGACTAGAATTGCACCAACTTTTTAAGTTTGGTACAAATTACCTGTTTGCTTTTTTTAAATGTTTAAATTTTCCTTTATCAATAAGGTTCTATTTGGATATTCAAAAATAATTTTTGAAAGTCATATTTTAAAGGAATAAGGGTCAAATAGGCCATTGAACTGCACCCAATAATGTAATTAGGCCACTGAACCAAAAAAAACAACAATTAGGCCACTAAACTAAGCAATTTCATTCAATTATTCTAATTTACAGGTTTTGTAGGTTACTAACAGGTCACCCAAATAATTTCAAATTTTTTTTAAAAAATTATTATTTAAAAATAATAAATTAAAAAAAAAAACTAAAAACTCGTCTCTGCCGGAGACGAAGAAACTCTTCGTCTCCATGGTCGGAGACGGAGAGTCTCTTCGTCTCCAATCATGGAGACGAAGAGTCTCTTCGTCTCCGGCCATGGAGACGAAGATTCTCTTCGTCTCCAGCCGGGGACGAAGAGTTTCTTCGTCTCCGGCAGAAACGAGTTTTTAGTTTTTTTTTTCTTTTTTTTTTAATCTTAATTTATTATTTTTAAATAATAATTTTTTAAAAAATATTTTAAATTGTTTGGGTGACCTGTTAGTAACCTATAAAACCTGTAAATTAGAATAATTGAATGAAATTGCTTAGTTTAGTGGTCTAATTGTTGTTTTTTTTAGTTCAGTGGCCTAATTGCATTATTGTGCGCAGTTCGATGGCCTATTTGACCCTTATTCCTATTTTAAATGTCCAAATGGACTCTTAATGTGATTTTATTTGTTTAAATGGGAAAAAAAATTAATGTACAAATTAATACGAATAATTGCAACACCAGCTCTATCCACATCTTTTAAATGCTACCGACTCTATTACAATCTAGTCAACCTACTGAAGCACAAAGAGTCAATAACGCCTCCAACAAAGGCTCGAACTCACAACATCTCATATGGGAGTCCAACTCGGGTGCCATCTGTGCACAAAGTGCTTAGCCAGCTCTATTCACATTAAATAGTATACAAATTGTCCTGAAAGGTGTGGTCGAGTGTTCGTGAGAGCATGATTTTTGTATCAAAAGGTTAGACTTCCTAATATGGTCAGTTGTTATACATTGGACCATGGTTCACACATCGCTGTGTGAACCATGATTGTCGAATGAAGCTGTAGTAGAATTAAAATGATACTTTAGTGTTACTATAATGAAACTAGTGTGTGTGAAAAATGAAACAAAAAAACAGAGCACATTATTGTCAAATAAAACTGTAGTATAATTAAAATGATACTTTAGTATTGCTATAATGAAACTAGTGCGTGAAAAATAAAACTAAAATCGAGCCATACAACAACATGTATTGTCAAATTACGTGAAGTACAATTAAAATAATACTTCAACATAACTGTAATTAACTAGTGTGTGTGAAAAATGAAACAAAAAAATAGAGCACAGACAATAATGTATATAATCAAATAAATTATAGTAGAATTGTAATGATACTTTAGTATTGCTATAATGAAATTAGTATGGAAGGAAAATGAAACTAAAAAACATAGCAATATTGTCAAATGAAACTGAAGTGCAATTAAAATGATACATATTTCATGGTCTACGCTGCTACATAGACCATGGTCCATAATAAAATTTGCTTAATATGGTTATTGGTTAAGCACACCCATGGACGGAGCCACTATGGGGGCAACTGCTCCCACCCCCACCCCACCCCACCCCTTATATATATATATATATATATATAACATTAACTTTTATATGAAATCTATATTTATGTTCAAATTGTTAATTGTTTGAGTAATTTAGTTGGATGAATTCCAAACTTGATGTTAAAGAACTTATGCCATATGTTCAAATCTCATTAGCAATACTTGTCCTTATCTTCTCTTGTTTATTTTATCTCTTCCTTTTCTTCACAAGATAAATTAAATATTTTTTTAGTATATTTTTTATGAATCATTTAATAACAAATTAAATGATCTTTTTGTCTACTTTTGTGAATCATTTAATTAATGTAGTATATAAGTTTATACTATACTTCATTGTATTCAAATTAATTTAGAAAAACTTAAAGTTGATCTAACTAAAAGAAATTAAAATTAAAAAATATTTCTGAATATAATGTTATTCAAATTATTTTATCTAATTACCAGGACTATGTGGTCTAATGGTACCTGGGTTAGACTTTCATTTGGAAGATTATGAGTTCGAGCCTCAGTGGAGGCGTTATTGGTTTTTTGTGTTTCAGCAGGTTGAGAAAGTATATGAACAGATACTACAATGTAATAGGACCAGTAACTTTCAAAAAAAAAAAAATTATTTTATCTAATTGATTATGGTTCATATTTTGTCATAAATATTTTCACATTTTCACCATACTTAAGTATTTTTTTGTTCCGACCCTAATTATCATGTAATATATCAAAAAAAAAAAAAAAAACATTCTATTGTAATTTATAATGTATTTTGTATTTTAACCTTATTATGATTGTTTGATATTTTGTCATTGACATTTCTAACGTTATTTAAATTTCACCCATTCAGATAATTTTATGGATACGTCCCAATGCACTTCAAAATAGAGGTTCAGAGTTTTGAAGAGTAGTTATGCTGTGCATCCTTATGCACCATGCATGGTGCATACGGACGCAAAAACGACGTCGTTTTATTAAAAACGCGCGTCTCCCCTTTAAAAAAAAATTCAGGTTCGATTCCCAGGAACAACATTATGTTGTTCATTCATTCTGGAATTTTAGTTCATAGATTATGGAATTATAGTTCATCGATTCTGGAATTGTAGTTCATCGATTCTGAAATTTTAGTTCATAGATTATGGAATTTTAGTTCATTCATTCTGGAATTTTTAGTTCATCGATTAGATTCTGGAATTTTAGTTCATCGATTAGATTCTGGAATTTTAGTTCATCGATGGAATTATAGTTCATCGATTCTGGAATTTTAGTTCATATGTTGTTGCTGGGAATCGAACCTGAATTTTTTTTATTTTTAAGGGGAGACGCGCGTTTTTAATAAAACGACGTCGTTTTTGCATTCGTATGCACCATGCATAGTGCATACGGATGCACAGCATAATTTGCCAGTTTTGAATGTCAAAAAAAAAAAGTACACAAAGATACAATTTGTTTTGTTTTTGTTTTTGTTTTTTTTTTGTTTTTGTTTTTTTGTTTTTTGTTTTTCATTTTTTTAAAATTATTCCGTTTCTTTGGCCCAAATGATCATGACTTCTTAAAAATAAAGTTAATCTCCAAATAAGTGTGGACAAAAGAGTACATAACTACATAGTGCATTAATAAACCTAGCTAGACTCGCGTGCATCTTTTTGCTGCTTTAGTTCCTCGAGATGTCCATATCTGCTTAATAAGACTGGAAAAATACTAAATAAAGTAAATATATATCCTTCTGGAGAATAATACTTTCACCAATTGAATGAAAAGAAAAGAAGGAAAAAAAAAATAATGTACCACCTATTACAACTATTAATAAATTATCACATCAGGAAATAAAAAATAAAATAATTAAAATTGTTCCAATAAAATATCATTATGGGGTAGAATAGAAAACAGATTTTTTTCCCCTATATAGTTAGCTTATAAGTTAATTTTGGTTTATTTGACCAGCTGTTTGATTTGGTTAAATAATCAATGTGAGTGTTTGATTAATTAACTTTTTGTAATAGCTTATTGCTCTAAAATGTTAAAATTTAAAAAGGTGTTCAAAACAGTTTTTTTTTATAAGATTTATGAGAAAATAATTTTGCATATAATAAGCTAATAGCTAATTTACCTTCTACAATTAACTAATGTTATCAACTAGTCAAACTCACTAATCCAATCAGCTAACAGCTATTTACCAAACACTCCAAAAGATAAATTTGTAGCTATTATTTAAAGATGTGCACTGCATAAAATTTAAACTCACACAAAAAAAAAAAAAAAAAAAAAAACAAAACAAAACAAAACAAAAGAATAGTAGAGTAATTTCGATATTCACCAAAAAAAGTTGTTGATTCTTTAATTTGCTTTCCCTATCGTGGTTTCCTGTCTGGTGTGATTGTGCTAGGTTGACCCCTAGCCTTCTGGTGCCCCAGTAGCTGATTATTGTAGTGGCCGCTGTACTTGCTGATGGAGACCCTAATACTACACTTAAACATCACTTTTTAACTCACGGTTGTATGTATTTTGCTACTTTTTATTTTTAAAATGCAATATTTTTTTTTTTTTTAAAATTGTGTGTGTATATATATATACGGTTGTATATAAATCTTATTTTCAATTGCAATCATAGAATTGTAGTCATGAAAATCCTATTTATATTGTTGATTAAGTAGTAAAAATAAAAGTTATCAAATTATAGTACTTTTTTTTTTTTTTTTGAATGCTACTAGCTCTATTACATAGTAGTATCTGTTCATATACTTTCTCAACCTATTGAAACACAAAGAGCTAATAATGCCTCCACTGAGGCTTGAACTCACAACCTTCCAAATGGAAGTCCAACCCGGGTACCATTGGACCACATAGTCCTGGTTATCAAATTATAGTACAAATTAATCAAATTATCAATTAAAATTTTATCGTAAATATTTGTCGTCGTTCAATATTGATAGTCTTGTAATTTTAATTTATTGTTGGAGACTTGCTTGAAGCATAGAACGTAACAATTGTAACCTATAGACGTTAGTAAATAGCAACCTCAAGATGTCATTGTTTCTACAATTTTTAATTTCTTAAAATCTCAAATACTGAATAAATCCATTAAACTCGCTAAACATATTAATATATTAAAAAAATTACTAAAATTTGAAGTTAAGTAATATATATATATATATATATATATATATATATATATATATATATATATATATATTTTAAATAATCATGATTCTTTACAAGATAGTATCTGTTCTATACTTTCTCAAACATTTTCAGTCCAAAAAAATGCGAAACTATGACCATCCATTTGTAATGATAATCGAGACATCACACTACATGATAGTTGGTTGAAGTTAAGTTATAAAAAAAAAAACCTACAATTCAATCAATCAAACAAACTAAAAAAATTCAATTCATAACATTCATTAAACGATAAAATAACATCCAAAAATCATAATTAAAGAAGTCTATAGTTTTTAGAAAAAAAAAAACTTGAACACAATACAAATTCAAATTTCATATAAAAATGTTTTGTAAATGGTTCGTGTAAACGGGTTAACACAATAATATTAACGGGTTAGACATATTCTTAATAGGTTTAACGGGTTAACCCGTTAAAGACACAAAACATAACGGGTTAACGTAAAGACAAAACACTAACCCGTTATTTCCATGTCTAGGGATGGCAACGGGGCGGGGCGGGGACTTGAAAAAATTCCCCATCCCCGTCCCCGCGGGGAATTTGGCGGGGACGGGGAATCCCCATCCCCGGTCAACTCATAGTTAAAGTGTGAAACTAGTAGAAATAAAAAGAAAACAATTAAAATGACAATTAAAATTCAACTATTTTTAATAACATACGAACTAATGAAGTTCAAATTCCAATCCGAAAGAGCAAATATATACTAAAAATAGTTTATCATTCAAACATTATAAATTATATTGACTTATTGTTGTTACTTATTGTTGTTATACACACATTACTACAGTACACGTATTATTCCAATGTATACACATTCAAATATTCTATTTCCTAATCCTAAAATAATATTCTATATATATTATATATTTATTTATTTTAAATTTTTTTTTCGGGGGCGGGGCGGGGCGGGGAGTGGTATCCCCGTCCCCGTCCCCGTCCCCGCCGGGGAGTTTGTGAAATTCCCCATCCCCGTCCCCGATCCCCGAAATTTTTTCCCGTCCCCGTCCCCATCCCCTACGGGGGCGGAGATCCCCAACGGGGATGGGGCACATTGCCATCCCTATCCATGTCTTGTTTCGTGGTACTGTTAACAGGTC